CATGACTTGGGGTTTGTGGTCTGACCCCTCCTCCAGAGAAGCCCACATATGTCCCTCTGGACTATTGTTGCCCCTCCTCCAGTCCCATGACATTTCCATATGAGTCCACAGCCATTTATAACACCTGTGGGCCTCACAATTCCTGGTCTTTACCCTGTAAACTGTATCACTCACCCCCTCCCTATCTACTTCCAATCAGGAACTGATCTTCCCAGAGGTCTTGTCATTGGTATTTTGTTTGGAATTGCATTAAATCTGTGTAGTGCTTTTGGTAGTATGGTCATTTTGACAATATTAAATCTGTCTATCCAAGAACAAGGGAGATCTTTCCATCTTCTAAGATCTTCTTTAATTTCTTTCTTTAGTGTTCTGTAGTTTTCCTTGTAGAGATCTTTCACCTGCTTCATTGATTCCTAAGGATTTTATTTTATTTTTTGAAGTGAAAGTTTAATAAAATAGGTACTTGTCACTCCGTTTTTCTATTTACTTAACAAAACACTGTTGAAATCTTAAGAACTGTTTGCTAATCTTGTTCCCAGAATGTGCTGTCCCCAACTGTGAACTGTTGTTAATCTTGTTCCCAGAATGAGCTGTCCCCAATTGCCAAACTACAAAATGTAACTTCCCTCCCTGCCCTCTCCAAGGAAAGTATATAAGCTCTGCTTAAGCTGTTCTCAGGGCTCTATCTCTCTTTGCTCTATTCAAGTGAGCACTGAGCCCCAGCGTGCTGGTCCCCAAATACACCCTTTTTCTGTTGCATGAGGCAGTCCCTTGATGGTCTCTTCCTCTGATGTTTCGCTGGTCCCTTACAGAAGCTATTACAAATGGGATAGTTTTCCTATTTTCTTTTTTCAGAGGATTCATTAGTGATGTACAGAAATGCATTTGATTTATGAGTATTGATTTTATACCTTGCTAATTTTCTGAATTTATTTATTAGTTCTAGAAGTTTTCTGGTGGAATTTTTCAAATTGTTTAAGTATAGAATCATGTGATTAGCAAATAGTGATTTAATTTTAATTTCTTTCATCTGTCTAAGTGCTCTGGCTAGAGTTTCAAGGGCTATGTTAAATAGAAGTGGTGAATGAGGGCATCCCTGTATTGTTCCAACTGATCTTTCCAGAGGTTTTATGGATTGTGTTATAAGGCTTTCACATCTGTTGCAGGAGTCACAG